CATCATTAAAATTGCATTCACTTAATATATGTCTGTATGGTGCAGAATTCCTTGTTTTGTGGGCAGTTGATTTAAAAATTGAAAATCACTTAATCACACTCAGTATGATTTTTAGTCCTGGACTACATATTGGATGTTGGATTTATGAGTATTAACAAGAATAAAGAGTACTTATAGGAGGTGTATCAATAATGAATTTTTTCTTCACTGCAAGTATTTAATGCTTATCCGGACTCAATTCTACAGCTCATTTTATTTGGGAATTATCTTAACATATAATGGTGAATGATTAGGTTTTTATTCGTATAAGACAGCATATTTATGAAAAAATATACTTTAGAGTTAACATCCTGTTCAACAACAACAATAAACACCCGAAATGATTGGTATGGTATTGCTTACATTCAGCACTGTCCAAAGTTGAATCCTACATCCTTAGTAAATAATACAAAGGGGAGAAATTCCTAAGAATTCAACATAAGATGAAGATTTTGTATACAATGTAATAAAAGAGCATTTAATCTCAGTTGCTCTACAGATCTTTAAAAAATTATGTGGGAATGTATGTGTGCTTGTTGTTAAATGGACAAAAGCTTGTGGTCAACTGTGGTTAAAATTGTAAGTAAAGTCCCTTTGAATAAGGTATAGAATTTCCCCATTATTTTTTTGAATTGTAATACATTAATCAAAATACATATCCACCGAATTCCATAAACTTTGAAATGGCAATAGATTGTATCAAGGTGTATATTTTCATTATGTGAGACTTCCTTTTCTAAAGATTTGTTTTAAAACATTAAATATTTCCTATTTCATGAAGAATTTCCATATACTTTAGACAGCTTAGAATATTTTGCTCTTTAGAAAATACTGAATATGGAGTTTATTGTTATCCTTATTACGGGAGGCTAATGACAGGTTTTTTTTTTGGATGAAGTTTTATCTTCAGTGGAATTCATTGGTATAGGAGAAAAAGGTAGTGCATTTGGGTAACCTAATGGGAGTACTGCTTAAATTAGCATTGGTTTTGTTAGCACCCATTTACTAATAAATCTTGCATGGCAGATGACTAGAAAAAATAGTTACGCTTTGTCACGTACAGGTTTATTGTTTGTAGGAAGGATTCTTTCTTATTGAAGGTATTTGTCTGTTTGACCATATGTGTATTATTTTTACAGAGACACACTGTAGAGGTAGAGTGTTCCAGTGAATCCCTTATGTAAAAATATCTCTGTAGACTTTTGTTAGGTAATTAATTGCATTTGCAGTGAATGCTTTTGAGGAGATTTGCGTGACCTCATTATTAGAGTTGTCACATTTTAGTATCTTGCAACAAGGGTTAGAACAGCATGGAAGGTTGGTATTTGTATGCTTTGGAGAGGAGTTTGAGATGTTACCCTGTTTTGCCATCAGTTTTCGAGTATGCATGGGTGCATCATTAATCATAGGAAATGCAAAAATAAATAATCCAGTCCCATTGGATTTTTTTATATGAATACTTACCTTTTCCCTTTTTCGTATATACAGTTGAGGTATTTAGGTAACCCCTAACCTTTTGCTTCAACAAAGAAGTACAGTATAAAAATATTACCACAGTTTTCATGTGAGCAGCTCTTGAGAGGGAAAAAAAAGCCCTCTAGATGAATATTTGTTGAAAAAAAAGTTGTGATACAGAATGTCTTAACTCAGCCCCAATATAGTACTTGAGGACCACCAGTGTATAAAATTGAAAGCACATGAGTTTTGAAGCACTAGAAAAGGTTTGTAATTGATTAGCGCTGCTTGAAAGTACTGAACTACAGTGAGTTTTGATTTGTGAATGGTTCTATTCAATAAAGATTAATTCTGTGTGTTTGATAAAATCTTAGTGCCTTCAATGAGTTAGTTTTTTCCCCCCCTCTGCAGTTTATTTAACCATCAAATATTTCAGTGTTCTTTTAACAAACTGGAACATTTCTATCTTACTGAATTTAACTTTAGCATGACTGATTTAAACAAGTCAAACTATCAGTGATTAGTTTGAAGGGTGTAATTGAAGAGATTAATTTTTTCTTCTTTTAAAATAACTAAAGTATATCATAATGTAACCATGTATATTTCATGCTTTCTTGTGATTTAGAGACTATCAAGAGATTTGTATAGACTAACAGTATTTTTCTGTGATTTGTTTTAAATCTTCTACATTCTAAAATATTTTTAATGTTTAAAAGTGAAATCTTTACCAGTTTTCATGTAAAATTATGGTTATTTACTATAATGTTAAATAATACATAATAAGAGTCTTTGGAAATTGCATCGACATTGTTAGCTTTTAATAGGAGTGGTCTTCTATATATGCTCTTTTTAAATCATCTCCCTGGATTTTGGAATTTAGCTCTCTTATTTTAGAAGCAAGTTGTGACACTTTGTCGCTGTTAAATCTTGAAACTATAAAATCACTATCATTGATATGGACCACAACTATTGTTTTGGAAATCAGTCTTCACACATCACGTTCAGTCGGGTACTACAGTCAGTTACAAAGGTTTTATGTAGAAGTTTAGTCTGTCAGCTGATATATTTTCATAAATAAGTTCTTAATGGTAAGATACTCCATGAGTTACATCTATTCATTTTAACAGACTTCATTTATGATAAATAATGGACATATTTTGAGTAGTGCACATTGAAAATTCACAGACACACACACACACACACACTCTTTTCACTTATTATTTTGAGGTGAGGCAGTTGGTCAGCGTGTGCTTTTGTCCCTTACCTGGGAAGAGCCTGAACTTTTAAAACTATTTTACAAAATTGGAGCACATACTTTTGACATTTCATTAGGTTGTTTTGATAATCAATTACTTAAGAATTTAAAGCCTGAAGTGAGGTTTCAGACTTCAGATAGATTCCAGAAGGGGGAAATGGTTGTAGTGTGATGATAACCTATACATTATGTCCACCACCCACCTGTAATTAGTCCCGTGTAGTGGGTTCATCTTACGTTCTCTATCCAGGCTCTCAAATACTATTGGGGAGTGGGAGAGGGTAAATTCCACTTTTCAGAAGAGGAAGACTTAGTTATGATGTATAAAAATATGTTATGTGATAGAAGATTATTTAATTCATTATCATGCGTGTTTGAAACTGGGTCAAGTTTTGAAAATTTTACTGTAGAAATAGTTACTAAGGATGTCACAGAAATGTAAACACCCCCCCGTATGACAGAATAAAGGACATTTTAACATATTCTTTGTGACTATATTAGTAACTTTACATCTAATGCTGAAATAGCCCTTGAAATTTGTGTTCCCGATCTGGTTTGAAAGTTTCTTATTTTTAAAAAGATAGAGTAACATTGTGAAGAGTAACTTAACTGCTTGAGATGCTGTTTCAAGTTACCCCTCCACGTACAACAATAGTTTTAAGCATTTTCTTCCCCTCTTCTCTTGGGTGGGAACAGCAGAAGTTTCCATGTATGAGCTATAATTATAATAGGGGTTGTTAATGCAGTCTAGTTGTGTATATGTTCTGCTTCCTTAATGCAGAAATTTTTACAGTAATGCTTATTATCTTCCATTAAATTAAAAAAAAATCTGTGATTATTGTATTGTATGTGTTATAACTGAGGGGGCCCACTTAGAACTATTGAGGGAGTCACTACAGCAATTTTACATTTTTTGGTAAAATACATAGTGTATTTTCTCACCCTTTTAAGAGAAACCTTTTTTCTCCTTCAGGTTTAATTATTTCTCTTTGACTGAAACTAAGACTGATCCTCTGGTAGCCAGTTAAAATGTGTGAAGTAGGAGGAGTAAAAGAAACTCCAATCATTAGTTGTAAGTTATAAAGCAAAGTTAATACAGGTATACACAGCAAAAGGATTTATTTTAAAGGATAAAAGAAAATTTTATAAACTTGCCTTGTAGAACATGTTGGACAGCATAAAGAAAATCTTGTAAGTGTTTAGATATTTTACTATAATACCATCTTAGCTGATGAATGTTGAAGTAATTTGCTTTTGTGTATTAACACTAACTTGAAATTAAATATTAATACGATATTATGCCTGTTTTCTTTTAAAGTCCAGCATGACTTAATTGGTATATGGCTCTTTTAAATCATCCAGAGTATCCTTACAGACTTTTCTTTTTTATGAGACTAAATGATACTCATTTTGGTAGGTCAAAGAATATGATTAAAAGAATCCTAGACGTTTTAATGTTTGCTATAACAATTTCTACTTATGGATAATAGTGTGTAGATGTAAACTAAAATTGTATAGAAAGTTATGATTGCATGTAAGTTTTTGACGATTTCTGTGAGCTTTTTAATATCCTGGATATCCTGGGCAACTATAAAGATCTTTTAAAAATGGCTATTACATACTTATCATAATTTTATTTCAGTTGAATATATGCTTCAATTATGTAAAGTTGCTTAGAAACAAACTTGTGCAGATATCTATGATGCAGTCTAAAATTATAAGTAGATTTCTTGTAGTTGAGCTGGTTAAAATGTAAGTTATACTGCAGGTTTATTCCTCTGTTTTACATAGTAGAGTATAATGTCAGGATAATTCTGTGGTCTGTTATTTTGTAAAATTGCTTCCTTTTAAAAGTTTGCTCAAATATTGGGAGCTGCCGGGGTGAATACTTCACAATACTTCGATTAATGTAGTGTCTAATTTTATTTCAGTGAAGGTTAATGAGAATATTAAACTTTCCTTTACTGTTTCAACTACCTCATTTCTATAGCTCTAGAAAACATTTAGACTAATGTGAGATAATTTAATTTTTTCTATTTCAAGTCATTAGTCCGAGAAGTAGATAAGTTACAGATGCCAAAAGCAAATTTGTACAGCAATTTCATTTTTCAACTTTTAGTGCAACAAAATAGCATCATTATGATCTTTAATATAATGTTAGCTGGCAAAGCTAGCAAGTCTATCCAAGAAACATACCTTTACGTTTAACAGGTTCATCTCTTATAGGATTTTAAAATATGATAACACTTACCCCAAAAGAAGTTTTGCTGACATGGTGTCACTGTGCTGAAGAGGCTGTTTGATGCCATAGTCCCTCCTTTTATTTTCAGATAGAACTTGTACCCTCTGTTGTAAATTCTGCTTGCAGCCTTAAACTGAAAACACAAACCATACCCAAACCTTGTTTTAGTTTTACAGTATGCCTGCAGTACATAGACTTGATATTTATTTTTTTCTGTCAAGAAATTATGTAGCTGGTAACATGTGAAAAGCAAGGAAACAAAACAAAAAGAGAATGAGCAAATATTGGAAGGACCTACTATTACTGCATAGACTGTGGTTAGAGAGCACTCACTGACTCTGTTGGTCTCGGTGGCTGGTAGTGACCTGCGGAGATTAACCATTTAAAAACCAGAGACTTCTTGCTGTCCTCCTGTAGAAAGTTTGCACCGCACTTGTGGTTCTGTGGTTGTTTGTGAGGCGAATGAAGCATTCACACAATCCAAAAAAGCAAAAGCTTTCAAACTCCTTTTTTTTTGCAAGCACTATTACTGGAGAGACAGAATCATGTGGTTTGTGACCTCATAGTACTCACAGTCAAGTGGGACTGCCTACCACTGTGGCTTTCCCCCCTTGCTCATGCTCTCTCTTTCTCTCTCTCTCTCTCTGACAAAAGGCTTGTGGTAAGGCCCTTCCTGGCATCCAGAAGGATATAGCTTTTTAATTTTTGTGACTCATGAGGATTTGGATAGAATACAAATGCTGAAGGAGCCCAAACTCCTGTAAGGTTAAGCGTTTGTAGAGCAGAGCTCTGCTGTTGTGGGCTTTCCTTTCTATCCCCCCACCCCTACTTTTTGTGCCTCCTCCTTTTATTTAGTTCATTATTGTGTCTGTGGAAAAGTGAGCAAAATTGGCTCAAGAGGCTGTGTGTGAAATCCTGAACAACAGTGATGATTTACAATAATTTACATCTTTGGATTGTATCACATTCTGGGGTCTGCTTCATATTTGCTGGGTGATTGGAGTCCTTCTGTTTTTCTTTTTCTTGTCTTCTTAAACTCATGAATCTGTAACTCATTGTAAAAAAGTTTACCTTTCTTAAGGTCCGGTTGCAAACTGCTTGCTGGGCTTGACTGTAATTGGCTGTCATGAAAGTGTTAGTCTGGGGATTCCTTTACAAATATTAAATCATGTCTGTCTAGTTTATGTATGATCAATATTAGATGCCGGCTCCTACAATAAAGATTAAATATAATTAGTATCTTTTGTATTATGTTTACCTTTATCTCATGGCTAGTTTGAGTATCTTATAAAAATGAATAGCAAAAATTGTAGCATAGTTTATTGGATGAATCTTAGTTTTCTTTATGTTGGTAATAATTTTTATTTTTCAAGGAAATATACTCATTTTGTATACTCATTTTGTATAGTTTACTTGGATATTAACTTTAACAGAGCCTTTGATAGCAAGTCTTATACAAATATAAAGTAAAATTCTTATGTTGTAACTTAGATTGTTCAGTGTTATTGATTTTTCTAAGCTCAGAATGGAGTGGGTTAACAGAAGCTGTATTTTTTGTTTATAATAGAAGCTTTTGAAATAAATTACAAAATGCTGTGTGTAGTAAGGAATAATCCACACAGAGTATGTTAGTCGTCTCGATTTGCTAATTCTGATTCAGAAGAAAATTGGAAACATCTTTGGGAAACTATCTCCTTTTTTGCCCCTTTGGACATGTATGTATAGAACTCATTTTCTTATTAGGATGATTATATATCATAGGCAGAGAATTTCATATTTATGAATAGAGCTTCCTGTTTTCATCAGTTGAGAGAAATGGGGTATTTTTCAGCAAAAATTATAAAGCTGAACAGACCAATTTTCTAGGCATTTTTTTGCCGTTTATCCACGCCACTCTGAATTTGCATGTTAGACTTCTTCCTAGTGTGATAGTAACCAGGAGTGGCATGAAGTAAATGAGTGGGAGGGTGGGCGGAGACAGTGAATTACAAAACATTATTTGGGGTGTATAATGGGGTAAGGACTGGGAAATACTGAGGAGGATGTTAGAGCCAAAATACCCCTTCGTATGGTCATCCTAGCACAGTTCACTATCTGTTTTTGGTTTATATTCGATAAAGATAAATGTATTAACGTGTTCATAAGTTTCTTACAAAAAAATAATTTGCCCAAAATACACTGGGAGGATATGGGAATGACTTTAATCCTTTATTATTCAAATATCTAGAACTTTTCCATAATAAATTTTTAGTGATAAAAAACCAGAAATAACGTTTTAGTGTTTTATTTAAAATACATATTTATCATGCCTCATTGTGTATGTAAACAGGTTTTACATTGAAAAGTAAAAGCTTTCATTTAACATGCAGTTATTCATGCAAAAGGGAAAATTTATTCATTGATTCTCTTTCATAAATAAGGCGTACAGTGGGATCTGTAGCTCTAATTAATATCTAAAGTAAGTTAAAGGAGGGCTTTGTCTATATAATTCGTGGAATTTTCAAACATAGTTCCATATGCACATACAATAGCAGTAGAATCAGGCAATTGAAAAAATTTAGTAGTCTGCTAAGTAAATGCTTTTCTTTTTTCAGAATGGGTTTTCAGTTTCTGCGTTTGGATTTGCTGACATAACTTTTTGCTAAATATTTTCTCCCTTAAAATTTTTTGTTTTTATTAAGTGTACTTTGGCCCTCCAAATTAACTGTATATGTATTTGAATAATTTTTAACATCTATGTGTCTCTTAACTGCTTGTTCTGTTTTTGCAGGTAACCCTCCTGCACGTAATTTTTGGGTCAGGGTAATCACTCTTATTGCTTAAGAGTTTAATAGATATTGTTGAATATGCCCTTTCTGTTCTGTGTGAGGCCCATCAAATTCTGGCAGGAGAAAGTAGTGAAGTCTTGGGCTTTAAAGTCTGTATATTCATTACCCGCACACACACAAACACATGCATACGTACATACATACATATACTTTTTTTCTTTCTATAAATTGAAAATCTATCCTCTTTGGAGCAAATATTACTTTGTGGTAAAAATTTAAAAACAAAAGTGATAACTGGTACACATTTGATAATTGACAGTCTGTTTCATTAGAAATAGCTTACCACATGTGTTGAAGACAGACTGACTCAGAAAAGTCACTGCAGATAAAGCAAGCTCTTGATTATGCTTAAAATCAGAAATGCAAACCACAGGGCTTTTTTGGTTTTTTAAAGACCCTCAAAACTTCATTCTTTTAGGGGATATATTAGTATTTGCTATGTTGAAGTAAGTATCGAGTTTAAGTCTGCTGTATAAATTATGTATTATAATGCCATGGAAATGAAATATAGCTTTGAACTTGAAAACAGTTTCACAAAAAGTAAAGTTAGTTGTTTGTTTTCCCATTGCCTTGTATTTAATAAGTTTGTCAACATTGGTCGAATTTTTTATATTGTATATTGTTATATGATATAAGACTATAATGTTTTAAATACTACATATATATCTTCATTGTTACCTTTTGAATCATTTTTTAATTTTCTGAATTAATGATCCTATTATAATACAGTAGTTTTATCAATACCAGTCTTGTGCCCGTTTCTATTTCTTTTTTGATTGTTTTAAACATATATTTGTTGCTGTTCTATTTTTCTTTTAATTGAAAGCAATAGAAGCAAAACAGGTTTGATGTAGGAATTTTATAAATTGTAAAAATCCTATTTTGGCTTAAAATGTTCTCATTATGAGGTTTTAGCAAGGAATTTTCTTAATTTATTTTTTCAACTTGGTATGTGACAATTTTTTTTGGATTTGATGTATAGCTATTGAGACTTACATAGCATTTATTGGGCCTTTTATTGATGCTTTGAAAAATTTTTACATTAGTAAAATATGTATAATTTTATTGCTATTTTAAATTATGATGATTATGAGAGATTTAATTCCACTTCCTTATTTTAATGGGGTATATATCCATGTTCACAGCTGCACACACATGTGTGGTTGTATATGTGTACAAGGTATTATTTTTTGGTACTTCAAAAAATTTACATATATATGTGTGTGTATGTATATATATACTAAACAAAGTGGTATTTTTTGTAATCAGAGTATTCTTTGTTTTTCTCCTCAGTTTCTTTAAATTTTGTAAAAACCCGAAGCACTACCATATCCATGATTGTTTGAACAGCTTCATTTGGTTAGTATTAGCAGCTCTCTGTCTAATGTGAGATAATGTGGAAGTTGGATGCCAAAAGAGAAAGTAGTTAACTTTTGTGTCTCCCTCTCTCCCCTTCTCTCTCCCCTTCCACTCCTCCCCCTTTCTTCCCTCTCTCCTCTAGGCTTTTTTGGTTTCTCTTTCTCTGTTTTGACATTTATAAAATCTCAAAGTAGATTCTTAAGGTTCTAGTAGGGGATATTGACATTAATCTTCACTAATGAATACGTTACAGGTTTGAAGCTTCTAACATTCAAGGCAAATCATTGTTATATCTTGTTATAGTACACCTCATTTGTTAGATGGTATTGGCATCTTATTACAGAGATTTCTTTTAACGTTTTTTAATTCCTTCCTCTGTGTTAATTTACTTTAACATTGTTTCACATGAATTTAGCCCTTTAATTATGAGGATTACTTTTTTCTCCCTTTGAGTGTTTTTCAAAGTACACAGTGATCCATACTTGTTTAATGTAACTGTATAAATAATTCATGTTTCTTATAATTATTAGAACAGTTCATCTTCTGCTGTCATTTTTCTAAGAAGAAAAAAAAGTCGAGAACTTGCAGAAAATATGGGAAACATGCTCAATATGACAGCTGAGGATGTGGCTAGGGTAAAGCAGGAAACTACTACCCACAATGCAATGTTACATATACTACCACTTAATAAAATTTATATCAGACATGCTACTGACAAAACCAAAGGAAAATAATATTCCAACTATACTAGTTAACATACTAAATATATCTAGGGAAAAGTGAAACTAATCTTTTTGGAACCTTTGTACTTAGAGAATATAGTAAATGAAAGTGTGGGACATCATAGTACATTGGAGCCTTTGTGCTGTGGGACTTGTTTGTAGGTGAAACTCTCTTATAATGAGAACTTTTTGGATATTCACTTTCCTGGAAAAGGCACAAAAGGGCACCCTTTTTCTTTTTGGATTGAATTGTTGCAGTATTATATAGGGTTCGAGGACATTGTCATCTAGTAGGAAAAATAAGTTAAATTATGAGATGTTCATCACGATTATTTATACTTTTCACCCAGCCAGGTATATTTCTTTACATTTTGCTTTAAGTTGTTTTTTATTGCCAGGTTTGAGATGGGGCTTGAATTGTACACTGAAGCATTTTTCTTTTCAAAGTAATTGTTTTTCTTGCTCTTTCTTTTTATTTACCTTAACCTACCTATAGCTTACCTGACCAGTTTAAATGCTTTACTAAAGGGGGGTTAATCTAAAGCAGAAAACTGCTTTTATA